CACTTAGTTATTGCTCATCTTAAGTACTTCTAATTAATTAAACTCTATCGAACCCATGGTTCCTGTTCATATTAAACACTTTTAATTAAGTAGACTCTCGAACACTTAGTTATTGCTCATCTTAAGCAGTTTTAATTAATTCGACTCTATCGAACCCATGGTTCCTGTTCACATTAAACACTTTTAATTAATTAGACTATCGAACACTTAGTTATTGCTCACCTTAAGCACTTTTAATTAATTAGACTATCGAACACTTAGTTATTGCTCATCTTAAGCAATTTTAATTAATTCGACTCTATCGAACCCGCGATTCCTGTTCATATTAAACACCTTTAATTATCACTAACTTTGATAGTTGCCAAATAAAATCCCATTTTAAAACCAAGACTTCAACGTTCTTGCTTTTCCTCAAACTGTAACTTGTCCTAATTTTTCAGTCTTTTGAACACACACACTTTAAATTCTCGTTTATACTATCATAACATTAAATATTTTCTTAATATATTTTTCTGGTCGAACCCTTTATTTTATACGTTACTATTTCTGCATGTTTTCTATGGCTCCTTACTTCTAACGTAACGTCATTTTTTGGTTTTAAAAACTGTATTTAAGCCTTTTTGTATAGGATTTGTGTCATTTGTATAGTTTACGTTTAAATAAATGTTTTTTTTTGGTTCTAGATTTTTTTTTTACACTTGCCAGTTCTCAATAAATACTATTGAAAAGTATGAATAAAATACGAGATTTTAATTGAGACATAGCGAGATGTTGATTTTTCAGTTTTTCCCTGTTTAATAGGAAGAAACTGTATGTTCTTATATAGAGAATATGAATTCTTTTAAGTCATGGAGGGGCGCAATGTAAACTTTTCAAGTAATTCTGCTTGTACGTTTTTTTTTTTTGTTATTTAATGGACTTAAACTTATAAACTGAAAAATATATACTTTTACATGTTTTTTAAAGATTATTTTTTTTTCTGAATTGATCTTATAAGTATTTCCAAAACTAAGCATAGAACATTTAAAACTTTGCCTCCCCCAGTGGCTCAGCAGCAAGACTGACGGCTTATAACGCTCAAAACTGGGTTTCGATACATGTGGTGGGCACAGCACAGATAGCCCATTGTGAATTATTGCGATTAACTACAAACAAAGTTAACTACTTTAAAAGTTCATAAAATACAGTATGTATATCTACACACACACACACACATAGATAGGCAGATAGATAGATAGAGAGATATACTGTATATTAAACATATTATATTTATATATATATAATATGGTTAGCTAATAAATGACTTCTTGATATTGAAAGAACTTGCTGAAGTGTACAAGAAAGGATGGTTCAGATATAATAAAAAGCTCCAGTGAACTAAGAGTTTTCTTCCAATAAGTATAGTTTGGTAGATTTCTATAGCATCCAAATGCTGATTAAGTTTAATAGATTGAATGGTTTCTATTTCAACATTCAACTACTGCTCATAACGGTGGCATTTCAACAATGCGTAAGATTGTATGTGGTTGTAAATAACTTACCTGCCAAGTGATACAAATTATTAAACAAACTTACTTGCTAGTGATACAAATTATTAAACAAACTTACTTGCTAGTGATAGAAACAT